TTCCTCATGTGTCTCCGCGATGCGAAGCTCACCAAAGACTTTCTTCGGTAGACCTGCTCGGTTAGTTCAACCAGTTCCAATCATCGCTGTTTTCCACTTACACAACATATCAGTGTATACCTGCTATGCAACGTTCTTGAGTAATGTTCCACCGCCATGTTATCGTTTTTCGGAAGGTCCAGAGTAAGACAGAACATCGTAGTTAGCGAATTTACACTCAATTGCAAAGTAATTTGGTTTTGCGAGGGACTCACCTGGAACCCAGCTGAATCTCTCGGTTTCGATGTTTCCAGGCAAATGAATGTCCTGCACCAGGCCACTTCATGTTTCAGTCGCTAAGATATTCGAGATATCGCGATATATATATATATATATATATATATTGTAACGCACCACCCATAAGGTTGCTGAAAACTTCAGAACATCGTAATTCACCTCATGGTCAATCGATACTTGAAATCCAATTTCGTACTCTTTGGTATGTGTGCAAGCAGCGTCTGTGTGCAGACGCCGTTGGATAACTGTTCATCCGTTGCAAGGGGATGAGTTAGCAAGGCACAACTCTTCAGTTCACGAAACACAGGCAGTCACAAAGTAGTTTTTAACGGCAAGCTCAAACAATTCCAGCTGAACACGTCGTTTCTGATACTCTTCAAATGAATGTGCTTCACATATGCTGCTGCATTTCTAACTCTGTACGATATCCAAGTTATCTCAGCTTATTTTCTTGGTGGAACACTACTTATGGGTTGCTGAAAACCCTCCGAAAGTCCGCAATCGGTTTGGTTGTTCTTGAGATTTACTCAAGTCATCCGTTGAAGTCAAATTATTTTGCAAATGAACGTTATTCGGGAGTTGCGTAAAGGTTGAGTTAAAACTGAACATTAGGTTGACGGAAACGCCTAGCTGATGAGCTCGAAATGGGAGGGTAAAACCAGTGGGGGGTTGCTTTTAAATAGCTCTTCGTATAGCAACTAGATTTTGATACCTCAACAAACATCGTCCCAACTGATACGTGAGGCAGCCTTTGTGCAACACATCCAGTTGAAGACTGTATCATAAACAACGGATTCAGTTGGCCTCAGATGAAACTCGCTTTGCAACCAGATTTCTCTGCAGTTGTATGCAATTCTGATTTATGAAGGCCGAAACTCTTCTACACAAATGCCTGGCAGCTTGTCAGTATTGATTGGCTCAAACAACCTAAAGCCTGTTTTGGGGTTTGCGAGATACGTAATGTTCATATTCACATCACTCCCGTTTGATTGGTCGCCCTCCTGTCCTAACATAATTATTCTGGCGAGTCCCCACAAAGGGGAGAAGCACTGGACTCGAGTTTCGCCCTTATTAGAGCTCATCAACAGTGCACGTACCCTTGGCCGCACAGGTCTGCGTTTGAACTCTGGACATCTGACATGCTGGGCGGACGAATCTGAATTTTCACGTCTGAACGGGCGAACATGTTCACGCTTGTTCACCAATACAAAAATACACATCCCGCAAACCCCACAGTAGATATCAAAAAAGTTGTCCAGCGGGTTTCAAGCCGCTACCCGAAGTCCTGACAAGCGGGTCGATCGACCGTTGTTCGGTGATTTGTCGGGCGCACCAGTCACATCACTCAAGCGTGAATACGTTCGCCCGTACAGAGGTGAGAATTCAGATGCGTCCAACGCGCGTTGGTGAAGTGCTTCACTTGTCAGATGTCCAGAGTTCAAACGCCGGCCGCTACGACCAAGGATATGTGCACTGTTGATGACCTCTAATGAGAGTGAAACTCGAGTCCAGCTCTTCCTCTCCTGCTTGTGTGAACTCGACAGAAAAATTAGGCTCATTTGTAGAGATTCAAGCCCAGTTTATAATGGGTTTGGCGGTGAGGAAGTACTTGGTTAATCTACAATTACACTCATCAGATAAGGAGGCTTCTGGCGGACATTTTGTGCTTCTCAAGGGCCATAGATTCTGGAGGGCTGCTAATTTCTGAAGAAGAAACGTTGTGTCGTCAGTTGAGATGGATGTACTACTTATTGTTTGACCCTTGGGACTCAAACAGACCAAAAACATCGCACGTTAGTGGACCACTTTTGAGCACAACTCCAGGATTAAGATGTAATACTTCTTCGGAAGGGATCGCAGAAATACATAGAGTTTCTTTCAGGAAGGTCAAATTCTTGAAAGCAACCCCCGAACGCCCGGAACCTACTGCTCCACCAAAAACTCAACAGGAAAGCCGGCAAGCATCCAGGCCAGTCAATCATTCAATCTGCGAAAGCCGATTGGTGTTCAGGCACGCCACAGAAGCACGACCGAATGTGATCAGCGTTCAGGCTTTTCATAGAGGCACGATCGATGTTGATGGGTGTTCATTAACGCCTATCAAACAGCCTGGATCAATGTCAGAAAGTCCCCTTTAAATAGCGTTGTAACTTTTGCTCTCGCACTCGCACGCACTCACACTCTCGCACTCGTTTGTTCGGAATATAGCTGTTGTGTTCCCTTCTGTGAGTCTTTTTTCTCCGGCATTAGGCACTGGAGCGGGTCAGCAGCAGATACCTCAGACTGACGAATCAGCAGATATAACAGTTTCACACTGCTCTCAAGCTACTCTCCACAATATTGAACTTAGGTTTGAAAAACTTGTAACTAACTAAATTAGTCTTACGTGAGATATGTATTTTAGAGGCGCTTTAGAGGTTGATGGCACTGGTTTGCCGGAGTCGATTCTTTTGAGCCAGTGGCACGTAAAATTCGACGTCTGAAATTCACACACGCTGTGCGATCGCCTCGGCCTGACAAGCTTCCCGGGAGATTGCACCACGCTATGTATTCACACACTACTGATGTCTGTTTTGAATACCCGCTTACTTATTCTTGTTCGGAGGGAGCTTCAAGACCGACCTGCTGGAGTACATTATGAACGTGACGCGTTCTAGATATTATATATTATATACGTATACTACTATATCGTCCAGATTTCGATTTGGGTCCAGTAGCCTCGGTGGGTAATACAAACAAACACTAAATCTTTCCATTGCTATTCGACCAGGGACTCCTGAAAGGTCACATCTACATTCCCCCGTCTGTTTACGTGCATACGCATGTACGTGTGGCACCGACTGCGATGGGCACACCTGTAATCAATATTCGATGCAGTGGAAAGTTCAATGAAATTGTTCCTGTACAGAGGCGGAGGGTAAAATGTCCAGTAGCCGGGACACCAACCGTCTGTCGATTTGTCTATCGGCCCAACTCGGACGATCCGAATGCGACCCAGAGACAAACACTAGGGTTTGGGGGGGGGGTTGTAATGTAGTTAGTCTCTTTGGCTGGAACCGGCACGATCAATAGATAACCCTGGTTTCGCGTCGTCGCCGGCACGATTTCCTCAGTCCCATTGGAACTAGCGGCGGGTGTCAGTCGATTGGCTGAATGCCAAAAATCAATCACAGCCTCTTTTTCTGACCATTAGTGTTTCAGCAGCACAGTTTAAAGCTGCCGTGTCCCTCGGGTGCAGACACTGTGTTGCGCTTGCTGATGGCAGTTGTATAATCTGATGTAACAAAAAAGTGGTTGTAGCCCGATGAACTTTGTCACGCATTTTACCAGCTGCTTAAGGAACATTCATAGCACTATTCCAGGAAGAATGCAGCTGTTGATTTTCTCCTTGCTGATACTGTACTCGAGATCCGTCCACTCTCAGTCGCCCGATTCAACCGAGGGTAAGTTGAGAGTCAGTGTTCTTGCCTTGGTCATTATCACGCTATTCCTTCCTCATTGGCTAGTCGCTTGGCTAAGATCAGAAGAGGCACGTGACTTAGCTCCGATTTCCGACAGAACGGTCTCTTATGTGAATTTGGCTAAATCAGTCAACAGAAGCGATACTTTCACGCGATTTACCGTTTCCGACTATATGACAGTACAGTGACGCCTCAGCCTATTTTGTACGCCCTTGTTAGCTTGCTTAAAAACTGACCAGATTCCAAACTCTCATGGTAAACATGAGTGGCGAGGCTACGCATAAGCTAGTGAAAACGCCGTTAATTTTCTTCAAATGAATTCGAAAAAAATCAACTTGCAGATGTCAAGGAAGACGGGAAAAATTAATGTACTCAGCGATGGCGGTGCAGGTCTTAGACACGGGACATAGAACAGATCTGGAGAATGTGGAAGTTTTAAGAAGGGGACTGCGATTCACACCACAGCGGCTGATAGCCGAGGCGGTGGAAATCACTAAGCATCACAGCGTGAATAGAATCGAGGGTGTGGAGCTAGCGAGCGTATGGAGAGCGGTCTTAGATAAGCCGAGTTGACACGTGACTGTGTGGTTGTCAATCCACGTAGGATCATTAGAAAAAACCGGGGGGTAGGGGTGGAAACCCCAACCGACTAAAGGTCACAGCATCCCTCTTACACAACTACCTTAGCACTAGCTCACCCACACAGACTGACAAAAGTTTCGAACGAATTTCAAGAGGAACCATCAAATGAACCGAACCAGAAGAACTAGACCCTAG